TTATATTTATGTGTTCCAGTTTGTATTTGACAACTTCTAATTTTCCTCCATTCATACTTTGTACATTGTATGTTTCAATTATTAATGGATGTCTGCCACTGTTTTTCCTCATTTTGAGTTGTGCTCCATCAGCAAACGAAGGTCTTGAAAACTTCATTCCATTCACATCATTATGATCAACTCTATTTTAAAGAGGCAGCTCTTCCCGAGTCATATTTTGAATGCCTTCCAACCTGCAGGGCTCATCTTCTGGCACTGTATCTGACAATGCTCTGCTACTGTTCTTATGGCTTTTACTGGTTAAACATTCGGAAGCAGCCCACCTAGTCTATCTTAGTGTGGAAGCTCAGCTGAAACCTGTCCACTATGGGTGAGCCTGCTGGTGTTTAAATATTGAGGATAGAGGTTTCAGCATCATAGTAACACACAAGCCGCGCAGTGTGACAAATTAACAGATGAGTGGTGGCTCCTTCCTATAGATGGAGACAACTTAGTGGGATACAAAATTAAAATTCCAAAGCTGTAACTATAATTACAAATAAAGGTACCTAACCTGAACTAATCACCTCCAGATAATAATTACCCAACCCAAGCCCAACCTTTGTCACAATGCCAAATTTAACAATTAAAATATTTTAGAGACAAATAACCCATACCTCAAACTGTGTGACAGCAGCATAGCGTGCCTCTCCAGCAGGGGTAGTATATTTACTTCTATAGAAACCTTTCATTTTGTCATTCAGCTCACCAACAAAATCTATTTTTAAGGTTCCTGTACCTGTGATTGAAGATAAATGAAAAAGGCTTTTATGGAAATGTTATGTACAAGTTATAGAAAATATGTTCTCAAGACTACATTAAGTTATATTAGATTCAATTGATTATTATAATGTTCAAATGATTCCTTCCTTTCTAAGTATTTCTCCTGGCATTGGAGAGAATATAGCAATTACTAAAGTAAATGGCAGGCTAAATATAAGTTAAACCTTTAAATAGCCCTGTTAGGCTATTAGAAAAACCTTTAATGTTATTAATTGAGTCTTAAATTACCTATACATAAGATAAAAACAGGGAAGAAAAAGAACATTACTAATCACACGTTTTTGTATATGATGCTTTAAAAGATGCTGTTTCACTATTTATTAGCATGGAGGTAAGTATTGTCCTTTATTTTTTCAGATGAAGAAGCTGAGATTGAATTAACTAACTCACTCAAGGTAACAATTAGCCAACAGCACAGAAGGGATATAAATTTAGGCCTATCCTAATCCAAAATTCATACTTTCTGGCAATTACACCATATTACACTTTGTTTATCTTTATTTCTTTTAGACAAAATCATGCATAGGAAAAGAAATGTAGCTAATTAATCTAACATTAAGACAAGAAACTACCTGTTCAATACAAACAGATTTTAGGTTTACAGACCCATACTTCTGTAAAAATCTGATCAGCAACAGTGCACAAAATATATACTTCAATTATCTGAAACCTAACAAAATTAAAGACATTAATATGAAGTATCTGATAATATTAAAGAAATGCTTTAAATCAATAAATTAAATATTGCTAGAAGTATATTAATTTCTTGTATAAGAGTAAGACCACCTCCATTACTATGTGAGTTAATTGTGAGTATATATACGTGCAGAACAGAAAGGCCATTATGATTACTTTCCAGTGGTTATTTACTAAATTGAGATATGTGACAAGTCAATAATCTCACTCAAGTAAAAAAACTCAGAAAAATGCTGATTCTGTTATTGATCCTTTTTTAAAAAAATGCCTACTTATAACCGAATCTAGAGCTTGATAGTTTAATAAATCAAATATATGGTGTAAATATAAAACAAAGTCTATGAAGTAATCAAACTGCTTTTCTTATGTGCCTCAACAGTTCTGAAAATAATTACAAGTGAAAAACTTCAGTCCTTTGAAGCAAAGTCATCACCAAAATATCAAATTATTAAAGCAATCAAGCTGGAGAGGGAAGGGGGAGGTACCCACACCAAGCTCAATTGAATCAGTAGCTGCTTATAGTTATATATATATTTAAAATCCAACATTCATATGAAGAGGACAATGAATAAAAAAAAGGGAATGATAGATTACTGGGGCAGTAAATACGAATATGGAGTTCTGGTATGGCGCTACAGGATAAGTACTAGACCACAAGGTCAGCTTGAATCGCAAGGTTGACAGTTTAAACTCACCAGCCACTCCTTGAAAACTCTACACAGGGTCACTATGAGTTGGAACTGACTTGACGGCATTTAACAACAATAACAAAAAATGAATACAATAAACAAAACTGAAAGACTAGGGGGAGAGCTGGAATAGGGAGCATCTACTTAATGGGTACAGCGCTTTCTTTTGGGGTTATGAGTATGTTCTGGAGCTAGGTAAAGGTGGTGATTGCTTAACAGAGCAAGTGTATGAAATGGCATGGATTTTTCACTTTAAAATTGTTAAATGTGAAATTTTGTCTCAATAAAATAAAAATAAATCTGAAAGATGCTTTTTAATACTTTCTTCAGAAAATCACTGATTTTTTTTAAAAAAAGCAAATGTCTTCACATTTATAAAGTTTATCAGGAAGATCTAATAGATTATTTTAAAATAAACAAACCAAAAAACATTACCTTTAAAGGGACCTATTGTAAGAAATTTTACATTAAAATTCCATAAATGGAAGTGGCTAGTCTGTTTTCATTATACCAATTTTTAAGATGTCTTTTATATAAGTCATGTTCCATGGTAAATCTATTTTCAACTTTCCCAATTTGGAATAAAAGTAAATGTAAGCCTACTATTGTAAAACAGACACTTGAGTAGGATAGAAAGAAGTATTGGGAAACATAATTACATAAAGCTTGTAAGCCCGTCTTCAGCCTGTATAGCTCACTGGAATACCTAAAAGGGGTTCAAGAACTTGCCCAGTGAAATAGGCTTCTTGCAGAGCCTTTGTAGTGTATAGGACCTTAGGTGGAATCCTGAGCCCCATCCAGAACCTTCTAAGGTAGGACATTCCCATTTGGAAAAAAAAAATGTGAGTGTAAAACTCTTAACTAAATAAATAAGAAAAGCTGCTTACACTTTTACTCAGTTTTAAATCTCCAAAGCTATCAGACCATAACAAGATACTGAGTGAACACTTCCAAAAAGTGTCATACTAAACAAAATACACAGTACTGAGGATTATTACCTGAAATTCAAACAAAACACAAGTCAAAAATTTAAAATTATCAATAAATTAATATTGTATTGGAGTCCTGGTGTGGCTCTGTGGGTTAATGCGCCAGACTGCAAAGCAGTTTGAACTGCAAGGTCAGCAGTTCAAGCTCACCAGCTGCTCCTTGGAAACCCTATACAGGGTCGCTATGGGTTGGAATCGACTCGACGGCACTTGACAACAACAACAATATTGTATTATTGTTATTAAGTGCCGTCGAGTTGGTTTCGACCTATAGCGCTCCTGTATAGGGTTTCCGAGGAGCGACTGGTGAGCTTGAACCACTGACTTTGTAGTTCAAACTGACTTTGCAGCCCAGCGCATTAGCCCACGGTGCCACACATAATACTAAATACAAAGTATTTATTATTAATACAGCAGAATTTTGGCCCAGGATCAGGCAGTGTTTCGTTCTGCTGTGCATAAGGTCTCTATGAGTCGGTACCGACTCGATGGCACCTAACAACAACAACAACAGCAGATAGATTTTTAAACAAAATTCACTAATCAAATTTATGCCACACTGAACAATTTATTGCCAAATTGTCTAATTTTATATCAATGACACACACAATTTACACTGCAACTTCAAATTAGATACCCATTTCAATATTCCAGTGCATGTAATATTAATCTGCTTGGGGTGGCTAGCCTTTTAAAACATATACTAAGCTCATTCACAAATCAAACAAGTGAATAATTGGGGCTTCCACCAAAAATCTGAACTGTTTAAAGTTTGTTGCTAGGTGCCAGTGAATCAGTTCTGGCTCATAGTGACCCTATGCGCAAAAGAATGAAACACGGACCGATCTGAGCCATCTTTACAATTTTTATGTTTGAGCTCCTTGTTGCAGTCACTGTATCAATCCATCTCCTTTCCAATCTTCCTTTTTTTTTTTTTTTTTTTTGTTAAACAGGGCCTATTTTGTTTTTGTGGACCCTCTATTTTACGAGGCATGATGTTCTTTTCCAGAGACTGGTCCCTCCTGAAACATGTCCAAAGTACATCAGACCAATTGTTCTCAGGAGCATTCTTACTGTACTTCCTCCAGGACAGATTTGTTTGTGTGTGTTTTTTTTGGCAGTCCATGGATTTTTCATTATTCTTCTCCAACACCATAATTCAAATGCTTGAATTCTACTCGGGTCTTCCTCATTCACTGCCCAACTTTCACATGCAGATGAGATGACTGAAAATACTTTGGCCTGAGTCAGACTCACCTTAGTTTTCAAAGTGACTTCTTTGCTTCTGAACACTTTAAAGAGGTGTTTCTCTTTAAAATGGAAACTTTAAAGACGGCTGATTCAGAGTATTGATAATGGATCCATGTAAAATGAAATTCTTGAGAACTTCAATCTTTCTTTACTTATCATAATGTTGTCCAATGGTCCAACTGTGAAGATTTTCATTTTCTCTGTGTTGACGTGTAATCCATACTGAATGTTGCAATCTTTAAAGTTTGCTGTTGTGAAGTGCTATTTAGTTGGTTCTGACTCATAGAAATCCCATGCACAACAGAATGAAACACTGTCCAGTCCCGTGCCATCCTCACAACTGTTACTTTTGAGTCCACTGCTGGTGCCACTGTGGCAATTCATCTCATTGTAGTCGTCTTCTTTTTAGCTGACCCTGCATTTTATTTACCAAGCATAACGCTCTTCTCCAGGGACTGGTAACAATGTCCAAAGTATGAGAGACAAAATCTGGTCAGCCTGGCTTTTAAGGAGCATTCTGGCTACACTTCTTTCAACGCAGATTTGTTTGTTCTTCTGTCCATGGTACTTTTCATATTCTTCTCCAACATCATAATTCAAATGCATTGATTCTTTTACGGTCTTCCTTATTCAATGTCTAACTTTCCCATGCATATGAAACCACTGAAAATATCATGGGTAAGGGTCAGGCATAATCAATCCTCAAATTGATTATATTTACTCTTGAATACTTTAAAGAGGTCTTGTGCAACAGATTTGCCTAAAGCAATACATGATCTGATTTTTTGACACCTGCTTCCATGAGTATTCAGTGTGGATTCAAGCAAAATGATATTTTTGACAACTTCAATCTTTTCTCCATTTATCCATGATGTTCTTTATTGGTCCAGTGCTGAGGATTTATGTTTTCTTGACATGGAGATGCAGTCCATACTGAAGGCAGTGGTCTTTAATCTTCATCAGTAAATATTTTAAGACTTTTTAGCTTCCAACAAGCAGGGTTTTATTTCTGCATATTGCAGGTTGTTAATGAGTCTTTCTCCAATCCTAATGCCACACTCTTCTTCATTTAAACCAGTTTTTCAAATTATTTGCTCAGCATAGATCGAGTAAGTATGGTAAAAGGATACAACCCTGACACACACCTTTCCTGATTTTAAACTATTCGGTATCCCACTGTTCTGTTCTATGTACAGGTTCCTCATGAGCACAATGAAGTGTTCTGGAACACCCATTCTTTGCAATGTTATGCATAGTTAGTCAAGCTCATGCAGTAGAAAACCTTTGCATAGTCAGTAAGGCATGAGCAAACATCTTTCTGGTATTCTTTA